AAGATTCCCCCCTAAAAACTCCGACTTCTTTCCCCTTTTTTTTTTTTTTTTTTTTTTTGGACCGGTAAGGGGATCGCAACCCTCCGCATGGTGTTGTCTGCACCATGCTCAGCCAGTGAGCGCACCAGCCATCCCTATATAGAATCCGAACCCGCGGCCTTGGCGCTATCAGCACCACACTCTCCCAAGTGAGCCACGGGGCCGGTCCAGACTTCCCAGATGTTATACTAGGCTTAAAAGATGTTATACTAGGCTGTCAGGACTTTGTCTTCAGAGAATATGATTTAGCTGTAAAGTTTCTCATTTCTAATTTCTTTCCCAGATGTTAACCATTAGCAGATTTGATTCTTCTTTATCTAATAATCAGCCCCTTCTCTGAGCTCTACAATCTTTCCCAGGACATTTTTAGGGCTTGTCTGGCCTCTGAGAAATTGACATTGGTTTCCTCTTGAGATGTAGGGGCTTGGTACAGCTTTGGAGAGGGTGGATATGGATGGAAAAGCTGTAGATTGTAGAAACTACCTTATGAAGGGAAGATTTTTACTATAGAGCAAATTTCCTGCTCTTAGGCATACACTATACAGATATATTTTAATCTTCAAAGTAATTGATGATTAAGGTAGCCATAATTATGCTAGGACAATGAGAAAACAAGGACTGTCTCGGGCAAACTGGAACATAAGAACACTTAGGTAATTTATGATAAATATAGATAGCTGTATGGAAATTCCAAGAAGAATAAAGTTATTTTGGATGATCAGAGAATGGTTTGGGGAAAAGCAGAGGGCTAAAATTCAGAAATGGAAAGGCTACAACTAAATGTAGAAGTCAATAATCCTAAAGTGAATAGATGATAATACTGGGGTACTTCAAGATGTTCATGGAAAAATGAAAGATACAAATCTTTCCTGTGAACTTTTCGAAGTACCCTGGTACACCTAGAAGGAATATGTTAGAATGGGAATAAGTTAGTTTAACATCATGGAAGGTTTTTAGAACTTATCTAAGAAGTTTACACTTATTTTTACTATTGAATTCAGTCTTTTGATTCCTACAAGAGAGTAGGCATTATTTCAGCAGATGTGAAGTCAAAGCTGAGGACTAAAGAAGTTATGGCTTCCTTGAAGACAGTCACTGAAGAGCAGGGCCATTTCATTGTGCAACTAGGAAGTGGTAAGCTTTACCGGGAAAGGACAAATTGAATTCTGAAGGTTGGCAAAGAATGGTGATCTGCTTCCATCTCCCTTGGGTAGAGCAGTTGAGATTTGATGAACAAAAATCTCATTAGGCTCAAGATAGGCCCCTTTCTGCCAAATGTGTATCAACACAGTAATTCTCATTTCAGGAAGATATTTAGGGATATTAACTCCCAATTTCTCACTCTTCTGTTTCTGCAAAGAGTTAAACTGCCAGTTCTTGGTTACTTTTTTAGAGAGGTATCTTGTTGAAGGCCATTCCTGCCACCAGCGCTGTGTTATTTCTTCCCACCTCAAGGACCTTGCTGTATCAGTTCCTTCTTTGCTTCTACCATTCATTAATTTCTTCCCCTCAATTTTTTTTCCATTACACTTGAAATGCACTTTCTCTATTACCAGAATAATTAAATTTTCATTCTCAAATTAGGGAATGTGTAGTTTGAACAAAACTTTAAAGAGGAATTACTTGGGGCCGGCCCAGTGGCGCACTGCTACAGTGCGCCGCTTGGGAAGCGCGGTGGCACTCCCGCCGAGGGTTCGGATCCCACATACAGACCGGCTGCTCACTGGCTGAGCGAGGTGCGGGAGCAACACCGAGGGTTGCGATCCCGTTGCCAGTCCCGGTCTGGTACGGGCGCGACACTGAGGGTTGCGATCCATTGCCGGTCACGAAAAAAGACAAAAAGGAAAAAAATTTAAAAATAAAGAGGAATTACTCCTTCCTGGTTCTAAAACTGAAAGGATTGTGTTCAAATACTTGATATCTTCAGTAACTGCTCTGACCTCATCTGTAAACTTAGACCTAATACTCTCAAGACACACATAAGATTGTTGCATTTGCTGAAAATCCATGTGAAATCATTGGCACAGAGGTTATTTACTAAATGACCCTTCTGATTTCTAAAGAAAAAAAATCTTACCCTAGTAAGGCCAGTTTAGTTAACTATTTTTATTTGGAAATACTTCAAGCATACAGATAAAAAGAGGCTGTGTGTACTTACCACTCAGCTTTTTTTGTTTTTGTTTTGTTTTATGAAATAATACAATTGGGGGTCCCTGTGTACCCTTTCTTGGTCCTGTTTCCCTCCCTTAAGCGTAACCACTATCATGAACTGATGTTTTATAATTCTCATACATGAGGTGATCCTCTTAATACATATTTATATACCCAAAGAAGTTAGTGTTCTATAAGTTTTAAAACTTTAGCTAAAATTGAATCATACATGTCTTTCTGCAAATTGCTTTTAGTTCAATTTTGTTTACAAGGTTCACCTATGGTGATACATGTAGCTCTGTTCATTCCCTTCCCAGTCCACTGTAGTCTGGCTTTTATCTCCACCTCTCCACCAAAGTAGCTCTTATCAAGGTCACCTAGTTGCTAATTCCAATAGACACATGACTGCATTTGTCTTTTCTTCAGATTAGTTTCCTTGACATCATTCTCTTGGTTTCTCTTAATTTTGGTTAATCTTCAGTTTCAAACAGTCCAAAATTATTTCCAGTATCTTCCCTACCAAAACTTTTCCCATCTGTGCTTCCTGCTAACACAGCTAATGAATGACACAGCTATCCATTCAGTCAGGAAAAAAGAAACCTGGTCTTTTCAACAAATTGTGTGGGGAAAACTGGGTATCCACATGCACAACAATGAAGTTGGGGCCTGGCTGGTTAGCTCACTTGGTTAGCAGTACTGATAACACCAAGGTCAAGGGTTTGGATTCTTGTACTGGCCAGCCTCCAAAAAAAAAAAAGTTGGGCCCCTATCTTATACTATATATAAATATATATGTATATGTATAAAAAATGTGCCCAAAACCTAAATGTAAGACCTGAAACCATAAAATTCAGAAGAAAACAGGACAAGCTTCACGTCATGGGATTTTTTGTTTGGTTTTAGCAGCTGGCTGGTAAAGGGATCTGAACGCTTGACCTTGGTGTTATTAGCACCATGCCCTAACAAAGCAAGCTAACCAGCCAGCCCCATGATATTGGATTTAGCAATGATTTCTTTTATGACACCAAAAGCACAGGCAACAAAAGAAAAAAATAGGTAAATTGGGCTTTATCAAAATTTAAAACTTAGGGCCGAGCCAGTGGCGCACTCGGGAGAGTGCTGTGCTGGAAGCACAGCAGCACTCCCGCCGCGGGTTTGGATCCTATATAGGGATGACCGGTGCGCTCACAGCGCTCACTGTCTAAGCGCGGTGCGGCCGGTCTCAAAAAAAAAAAAAATTTAAAACTTGTGCATCAAAGGACACAACAGTGAAAGACAACCCATGGAATGGGAGAAAATATTTGCAAATGATGTATCTGATACGTGGTTAATATCTAGAATATATAAAAAACTCTTCCAGGGCCGGCCCGGTGGCGCACTGCTACAGTGTGCCGCTTGGGAGTGTGGTGGCGCTCCCGCCAAGGGTTCGGATCCCACATACAGACCGGCCGCTCACTGGCTGAGCGAGGTGCGGGTGCAACACCGAGGGTTGCGATACCGTAGCCGGTCCCGGTCCGGTACGGGCACAACACTGAGGGTTGCGATCTGTTGCCGGTCACGAAAAAAAGACAAAAAAAGGGAAAAAAAAAAAAAAAAAAACTCTTCCAACTCAACAACAAAAAAAACCCAACCAATTCAAAAATGAGCAAAAATTTTTGCCCCGAAAATAATTTATTCCTGGGCCACCCATCTTCCCTCACCCCTATGAAGACGTAAATAAGCTTCTGTAACCCATTGGGTTACTGGGCAATCACTCTCCTATGATTCCATTGTACACAGCTTCTTCTTTTTTTTTTTTTTTTGTCTTTTTGTCCATATATATATATATGGGATACAAAGTCACAGTATGATTTATTAATATAATGTGGAATAATTATATCAAGCTAATTAATATATCCATCACCTCAAATGCTAATCACTTTTTATAGTAAGAACATTGGAAATTTACTCTTGGATTTTTTTTTTTTTTGGCAGTTGGCTGCTATGGGTGGGAAAATAGCCTAAGTGATTCTTTTTCAAGAATAGCTTAACAAGGGTTGCTTGTCTAACTTGTGGTGTGATGACCCCTGAAAGTACACTTTCCCGAGGGTGACTTCTCAAGATGGTGGCTGTTCACCTTGTTCTTTTTACTTCCTGGTTCTTCTTCCTCCTCATGACTTCCAGCAGGCCTTTTTCACAGGCTTGTCCTGAGCCCACCCCTTTCCGCCAGAGGGAAAGGGACAATAAATGCCTTATAAGGAAGTAATGAA